TTATGTGAACGCGGGTCCGAGCATGGCGTACTTAACAATGCTATAACTCGTAACAATGTACATTGTTCATTGTTTAAGTGCGGGCTCCGTTTCTTCGCGGTTTACTGACTACCCCGTGTATAAAATCCTACTTGCCTCCCCCCCCCTCCCCCCTCCACTTCGTTCATCCACTTTTCGCTTTCTTTGTCCTTTATACGTGTTCAATGCTATTTCCATTGCTCGACTCCTTTTTTTTTCCTAACCTCCGCCTATGGATGCGGCCCTGGTCGGCTGATGCACGTGCGTGAGACGGCGACGTGCCGATGTTGACACGGATACTCGTACGGGTGTACCTTGCTCCCTGGTTGTGCAGTATGCTAATTTTTAATTTTAATCGAATCAATAACGATGTTGATAAATTTTCGGTTTTTTTGGATGCCACATTTTGAAATCGCTTTTTCCGCGCGGACTTGGCTTTCGGGGCTTGGTCGTCGTGGAGTTTCGCAAGGACACGGCTGACGGGAACCTGTCGCGAAAAACCCACATGAGCCGCATACGTGCGTGCGTTGCATAGGTGTATTTTTTTTTTTTTTTTTTTTTTCCTCAAGCGACTGTCCGTAGTCGGTTGCCATAGGCTTTGGTAAGCGTATACGCAGTACGCGGTACGTGTCTCCTCGCCTTCTCACTCTCCACGCCTCAGTCCGTAGCCGTCAAGGGAGACACTATTTTCTTGACATCTCGCGCCTTTCGTTTTTCCTTCGATGGGAGTCGGTCCTTGAGAAAATCTTCTTGCCTCGATTCTCAATTTCATCATTGCCAACTAGATCGCAAGGCGAGTCCCTCGTTGAATCCTGATAGCCGACGTTTGCCCTGCCCCCCTTTGCTCCTCCCCGTCCACGCTCCGTCGACCGACCGACCGACGGCAGAGACACGTTGCTGGTCGCGGCGACTCGCCGAAGCTCTCCTCGATGCCGACCGACAGGTACAAAATAGGAATCGCGGGATCCACGACGGTTGCAGGTCGCGCTTAAGGGAGCAGCCGAGGAAATGAAAAATCGGCGCAATCGTCCCACGTGTCTCGGGGCCAATTGCAAAGAGCACGCGATCCGGCAATCGTCTTGTTCCGAATTTGGCGGGAAAAAAAAAACAGCCGCAGCGCGAGAAGGTCGTCCCGCGTATAGATGGGAAATACAGATGGTCAGACGGTTAACGTAATTGCACGTGAGCGCGGGTACCTGCTGTTGATTCCAACGAACGCCCCTTTCGAGTGTTCTTCGATACGACTAATTTTTTTTTTTCTTTTTTTTTTTTGCAAATTTTATTCCACATAAATCTTATCGACCTCGTATTATTTCTTGGGAGCTCGTAACAAAAAGAAAAATCTTCTGCTTCATCATCCTACGCGATCCGTCATTCTCTCTTGCCTTCCTTCCTCTCGCTGCTTCGAAATAGGCTGAAACCCTTAGCTGACGATTGCCAATTACGTTTACGAGGCTTGTTATTCTGTTTCGGGATCCTCTGGGGCCAAGTCACGCAACGGACTGTACCTTCTTCTATTGTTGGCTCTGCGCCTTTGGGTTTGGGTCTTGTTCTTCGTTTCCGAGGGGATGCAGAATCGACGAATGGGAATTGCATGGGAATATATATATATATATATACACACACACACGTGCTGTGTCACGAAGACTGTCGAAGGCGTCACAGAAAGCGCTTCTCTCGCCTTCCACCGATAGCACGGAGAACGTCCGAAGGATACCCGACGAGAAAGGTTGCCGTTTTTATGCTCCTGCCCTTCACCGCCCCCTCGTATCGCTTACTATTGCGAAACACTTAACGAGCCTTCTGAAACGTTCTCTAATTCACGGCGCTTGGCCACTCGGTCGGAGTGGGAACGTCCGATGATTTTCTTGACTATTCGGATGCGATGCATTGGCAAGAAAATTAACTATTAACTATTAACGACCTCGGGGGATATGCAACTAGGGGATCGCTTGATTAGTCGATCGATCGAGGATTTTGAACAGCTGATCTGGAAACTGCCTTTATTATTTCGTTAAATTTATATTTCGAATCGTACGCTTTCGTTCACTCGTTGTCAGTTTTTTCCGTGGTCTCGCTTCTTTTCGCCTGGGTCCTTTCACTGTGGTGACCCCCTCCCGCCTCCCCGTAACAGACCCAGGTCTTATCCCTCCATCGGGGCCCAACGGTGATTACAGTCGCCACGCTCGAGAGGGAAATCTGTTTCTCAAATAATTTCCCATTCGCCGATCTCCTGATCAGCCCAGGGAACAGGGAGATGGTAAATGGGACTAGGACCGGGCCCAAAATATTTCTATGAGGATTAGCCAATCTTAATTCACGTGGGACGTCTTGTGCGTATGGAAGCGATTGTCTATCAAAGGCCGGGCCCCGGATCTTTCGATTATCTGGGCCCTGACGCCCGGTGACGTGGGACTAGGAACAAAAATTTAGGGGCCTTATTTTAATGGCTGTGCTCAATGCTGGCGAGAGAAAAGAATTGGTATCAGTCCCCTCCCCCCCCCCCCCCCCCC